TTATTAAAAGGAGGACCGAATTTGTCCCCGAAGTGTAGTTCAAAGGTGGTGTACAGTTTGAAGTCACACAGTTTCCTTGAATTTTTGGTGTCTGTGGCTTGTATTAGACAGATGTTTCTTCTATAAAAGCTAAGTGGCACCAGAAATGAAAATCTGTTGGTCGTTTTTCCCACTGGTTAGCAGCTTCACTGTAGCTGTTGGTGCATTGTTTTTACTTTGAATTTGCCTGCTTCAAGCCATTCATTCCCATTATCCTCAGTTCTCAGTTAAAACGGTCCCTTCATACATATTGTGTAGTCATGTTTTATCTTTCTTTTCTGATAACTGAAACAGATACAATCCTTATTTTCCTTAACTGTGCGTTTTCTTCCTGCTTCACATCCTTTTTGGCGAGTCTTTTATGCATCTTTTTTGGTGTAATATAGAGTTATGTGTTAAGATACTGGGCACGTTTGTGAGCATGGATGCACGAGTCTGGCCCAAAGAATTCAAAGGGATTCATGACAGAAAACTTTTACCCAACGTCCACACTACGCCAAGCAACTAATTTGGCAATTGTCTGAAGCGTGTTTCTGTAGGTGTGTGATGGGCATCTGCAAAAGCACTTTGTTGTGGGTGCCAAAGTAGACACAAATGAAGCTGAAAAATTCAGACTACCCAAATGTCTTCCCAAAGTTTCACTTCTGAGCTACTCAGTTTGTATTTTAATACGCACATTTTTGTACGCATGCAATGTGAGATGCACTTAAATGTGGAGGGGAGTTTAAAACCTGAACCCACAGCACTACCTCACTTCTCCCAATCTCTGTGATTGCCTTTTCTTAATAGATTGGTGCTTTAAATCCATTTCAGAGGATGAGAGAAAAGAAAAAAACAAACACATTCTGTAATTTAGAGAGTGATAATAAACCATTAAAACATAAAGGAGGAGATAAAAACAGTGAGATGAAGGCAAAGAACTGCTCTCTGCTGAATGCTGCTGCCATTTGACTTTTGAGAAGTGATTGTAACTTCTTATAGCTTCAGTCTGTAAATAAAAAGCTGAAATGCTTCTCACTAGTAGCAAGCTTGAAAAGCAGCAGCAACTCCCCTGTCCTTAAGTCTTTTGTATTCCAAGTGCTTTTGTAAAATCACTCATCTGCTTCTAGCGGTGGAAATGGTGTGGTGGTGAGGGTTAAATGTAACTGTGTATACCATTATTATATTTTTCCTTCTTACCAGTGACCAGTTTTATGTATTCAACAATTAGAAAGTGCAGTGACTTCATTTTCAGGTGTATGGTTTCTTAGCAAATGCCTCTCAGCATATCTGATATCACCAAAGTACCCCAGTGGAATTCTCAGCTCATAGTTTAACATTACTTTAATTTGTCCTATCCAACATTTCACTTTTCGGCTGTAGGAAGACTGTAAGCTTATTCATAAACATTTTCATAAAAATAGATTGAATTTATCAGATAGGGTCTTTGGGGGGAGGAACCCAGAACTGTTCTTTTTTCTTCTTTGACCCAGAAATTGCCTGAAAAAAATGAAATTCTAAAACAATTTCTGCATTCCAGTTACTGCACTTAATGAATTTTAGGACTTCTTCAAAATGTGGATGATAACCGTGTTTTCACAAGCAGGCTATCTTCCCTTTTTTCATTGTATAAGCATGGAGTAGGAAAATTGTCTGAAGCAATTTTGTTTTCCTTGTCTTGAGGACAGAAAACACAAGGTAAAAAAATTCATGTTCCTTTTGTTTGTGTTAAAACTGCAGTGTCTTTCTGTGTATGCACTGTGTGAAAACAGTGGCTGTGAATGTTTCTGTGAATTTCAGGAGATGCATAGATTGTGTAAAGTGAGCACAGTCCTTTATAACAGACACCAAGGAGAGGAAGCTTCTTTAAGTTGCCTTTGATAAAAATTATTATTTTTCTCATGTTAATCAGTGGGACAGCTGTAGCTTTTAACTAGGCAACTTGGGCTGCTTTTTGTAAATGTGAAGGGGTTTCTGGTTTACTGATAAAGTCAGGTCCTTTTTTGTTTGCTCCAGAGCCTGATCCGTTCTGCTCTAGAGGTTCTCATGCCAGAGCCATTGACTTGGTTTGGATACAAGTAGATGAATGGAGAACAAGACTGAGAGCTGCATGAATCCAACAGATCCTGTGAAAGCACTTCTTTTTTTCTATTTTATTTTTAATGTAAATATGTACAGAGCATTTAATAGAATTGTAGCTGATTTGATTAGGGATTTTAATTGAATTTACATAAAGTTCATGATTGTTATTTGTAGACCCTAAGTTTGCTTTGTAAGATTTCAGTTTTTGGAGGATTATTTAACAGCGATACTAAGAGAACCTTGGTCTCTAAGATTGTTGTAAACATCATTGCTAATAAAGTTTCCCAGAAAAGACTTCAGGCATAGTTGTTACTTGCTAAAACAATTTGGAAAGATCAAAAGGCAAATCCTGATCATCTGTCTCCCTACTTCAAAGACTCTGATTATACAGGCTGCATATTTAAATGAAGTAAGCGGTTCACTTGTGAAAAGTTTGTTTGGTGAAAGTTTGTAAAGCCCTGTAAGAGCTTAGGGAATTGTTCATCTATATCATTTACCATTGTGTTGTCTTTGATGAGGATAGCATTGCAACAGAAATTTCTGTGACCCATAAATCCTACCCTGCTTCTCCCCCTTCCTAACCAACCCTACACTTCACAGATTCATGTTCTTTCTCAAGCCCTAAGATTAAATAGGTTAGATGCTCCAGCTATGCATATTTCCCTATCCATCAGGGAGCAGGTTTACCTTAGAGGCCCTTTTCTTCACCTGCCTGCTGCAGGTAACAAAGGGAGCACCAACTTACACCCAAAATCTTGCTAACTAGGTATATTTCTCTTTTTCTAAATCCTCACTGCATTTCTCAAAAGGATTTCAAAGTCTTTCATGAATAAGTGTATAAGTCATATACCTGTGACTTACGGTACAATCATACCTGAATGCCTCAAGCTCTTCACAGCACCTTTGTGCAGGGAATAAGGGACTGTTTATTCTATTGCTCAGGGATGAAAACTAGGATGAAATATTCCCTTGGGTCCAGGCCTTACGATATCTGTAGTAGGGCAATGATGTCTCATCCAGTGGATGCCTTAGTCTGTGTCTTTAGTATCTTCTTTGCAAGTCTGCTGTGTTCCTCTTGACATGCCTTGGAGGGTCTGTAAGGGAGTAAAAAGAACTTGACTGTGCAGGCACTGTCCCCCTCATCCCCTTTTTCTGTGGAGGATTGGAAAACAATGATCAAGATCTATAGAACTGGTGAGTCTCCTATGAGAAGCCAAAGCCCAAACAGTGGGTTGCCTGTACATGTTTTTAGAAAAAGTAAATAAATAAATAAAACCTTCTGCTTAGAGCAGACATTTCAAAAGTAATCCATTAGCAAAGGACAGAGTCTTGAGCTGACAAATTTTGAACTTTCACTGGAGGCAGAAGCAACTCGTACATCAGTGGTCCAGAAGTGATGCAGCAGTGATGGGTAAGTGTTTGTCACTGGAGGTAGCTTGTTACTTATTTAAGGATGGAGATGGTGGTCGTGGGAACCCATGGGACCCCACTGATGCAAGCTCAGCCAACATTTCAGAAAAAAATAAAGTTACTTCCCTACAGATTTCCTCCTGTCATTACTTCAGTCATTTACTGTGTCAGAACAGTTCTGACATGGTGACTAGTTTTTGCTGCCAACTAGAATTACAATTCAAATATTGCAGCTCTGTTTCCAGAGGGATACTTGAACTGGCAAACAAAAAGCAGCAATTTCTCAATCAGCAACATTTGAAAATTCTTCTTAATTAAAAAAAATATTTAAAATTCTGTAAGAAGAATTTTTAGTGACCTCATTGGACAAGTCATCCAAAATTACTGCTCTTACCTTCTGCTCTTGTGATAAAAAACATTGTCGAATACACGAGTCTTTTAACTTGTGAAAAAATAAATATCATACCATCCAAAGGAAAAAAACCATTTTTTCCTTATCTTTGATGTTCAAATTCCCTGTCATTTGGTGCTGTTGTCTTCTTCCTTCTTCCAAAAACCAAACAAAATGTTTTTAATGTGTTTCACCTGTCGTAATATGTCAGATATTACAGCCAATATCCCATCTCAATTGGTGTCTGTACATTAACAACCAAAATCAATCTATGTGTTACTGCTTACTGGTTTTTGAACCAGGGCTTGACCAGACATCCAAAACAGTGGGACAGTGCCAACCTTGTAAGCCCTCAAAACTTTCAGAAACAGGTTGTCAAAACTTCCCATTCCTTTTGCTCCCAATGCTTTTATTATTATTATTATTATTATTATTATTACCACTACTACTGTTACTATTATTATTTAATGTTTTCATTGCTTGTTTATTTGGTTTTAATGTGGTCTGAAGCACTACTGCCTCCTATTTCAAGGTTCCCTGATCCTTACTTTTGCTTAGCAGATATGGTATCAATTGCTTGCTCACTGTGAGACTAGAATATAAATGACCTTGAACTCTTTGCCCTTGCAAGCCATACCTCAACAGTTATATCAGAAATCAAGTGCCCACAGCAAGAGCGAAAGCCTCCCTGCACACCCGTGGAAATAAAGTACTGAATCTTTCCAGTACAATTTTGGTGGATTCTGTCAGACGTTTTAAGAGAGACTCTGAGTTCTTCAGGCACGTAGTGATGTACTTTTTCCAGCTTATGTTGTGAATTTATGCAATTGGAATAAATTTGGCATCTATTTCAGCTGACAGCTTATAAATGGACATTTATACATGTAAGCAAGGAGAGAAAGGTTAAGAAAAGGCAAAGCAGATGCCTGAAACACTACAAAAAGGCTTATTTCAGCACTGACTGCCGAGAAACAGATTGATTGGGATAGAAAAATGTTAACTACTTTCAAATGCAGACTGAAAAATATGGGGTTTCATTGTAACATAAATACAAGTCTGTGCCATGTGCTTGGGATAATGATGGATTTAAAAAAATGAATTCAGAGTTTAGTTTTATGCAAAGCTAGAAAATAAATCTTAAAGGTAAGATATAACAAATCTATACTTATTACAAGTGAGGCAATAAAAATTTCATATCTTAGAGATACAGAGGGGGGAAGTAATCTAGCAAAGCTGTGATAGGTTTTTAGATTTTAATTAGGAACATATTTGAATATGTGTGTTTCGTGTAAATGCAGATATGTATGTACGTATGTATGTATTTATTTACTTATGAAATATCTGAAGTTTTCACTCACTGCAGTGTGATACTTTCTTTACCAAGGATAAAAAAAGAAGTCTTCTCTCTGTGCTTATTGTTTAACAGGTATTTAGAGATTGTTTATATTGAAGCAGTGTCCAGAGATCTTCCCTAGGACTGGGTCTTTTCATGCCAGCCACTACAAACACAAAATAATAGGCAGTTCCTGACACAGAAAGAAATAGAAAGGAAGCAGCGACTTACTCAAAGTCACCAAACAGGTCAAGGGTAGAAATGAGAACAAAACCTGAATCTGTCAAGTCTCAGCTGAGATTTGTCCTCTCTTCATGCTGCATAGCTACTTATTTACAGCATTTAGCTTTAGATGTTGTAGTTAGTTTATTTCTGCATTAATATGGGTATTTTAAATTTCACGCACAGCAGCCTAGAATGGGAGTTTACCTAATCTCTTTCATACTGAAAGGTTACAAAAGTGATTTTAAAAAGTGAAAGAAAATTCAAGTGGCTGTCCCTGCATGGTGTGAGCCTCCACGTTTGCGTTTGCTTGCCTTTGCTGTAGAATTCCTGCTGCGGCAGCTCAAGCTCGGAGCTTCAAGGTCCACTGCTCAGTACGTCTCTACAGTGTGTGTGACAAGCGTCACTCAGGTAGTAACAAGCTGCATTGCCATGCTGCGTCGGAGCTGAGCTTGGCCCTGTTATACACAGGCAGGAGAAGGCAGGTTTCTCTTCTGGATTCACAGCTCGGTGTTAACGGCTGTTGTTTTTTTTAAGCCTGATTGTATCCTCACCAAATCCGTTAGAGGTTAGTATGACTCTAAGCATATATGATATACTTCCAGCATGGTGACAAAAGGGAATAAGCAGATGAACAGCTGTGCTCTCTGTTTATGAAAAGTACTTGGCTTCGAAGTGCCTAAGCTATTTCCGTGGTCTCCTGAAAAGAATGAAAACCTTCCAGAAATGGCCACAGATAGGTAGAGGGGGCCATGGGTTGACATCACAAAAAGAAAAGAGCATCTTCTCTTCTTAGTCTTGTGCTGCCATGCATGCTTGTTGCTGCAGGAGGGTTAGTGGCTGCCAGCTCCCATGGCAGTAATGGGAAGGTGGAGATGGCGGCTTGAGTACTATCCTGGGCTGGGGGCATTGTGTGCTGATGCCAAGGCAGGCTCGTGGGAACGCATCCAGTGCGTTTTCAGGTGATAAGAAGGCAGGCAGAGGAATGAGCATGGAGTTTAGCCTGGCCTTGACTGGCAGAAACTGTTGAGATGGTAGTGAGAGCTAAAAGTAGAAACAGGTCCTTCATTTTACAAGCTGTGGTTAGCCTCTGATGAAAACATTATTTCCTGCAAAGCAATGAGGAGTAAGAGGAACTCCAGAGGACAGTAGGTGTGCAGAAGAGCTCAGTTCCACCTGCTGCTGCTTCCATACTGTTTGGTAATGGCTGATCTTGTGGATTCACATGTTGTGAGGGATTTTTGTCTGGTCCCACACATGCACATATTGTACAGGCATATGTAGGCATACATGTATATGGAGTTAAACAGAGAAGAGCGTGCATGCAAAGAAGTTTGGGACTGTGCAAGTGTGGGAGTGAAGGAGGCCCAGAGAGACAGCTGCATGACTCCTTCGCCTCCTAGGCAGATCTGTCATTTCTGGCTATAGGATTGGTTTCTTATTCTGTTTAATGATGCTGACCTTTGTGTTGAATAGGTTGGCCTGTTGCAAAGCTAAGATTTGTGGCCTTTTGGGACTTTAGTTGTTTGGAAGACTGAGCATATTTTTTACTACATTGGGTCCAAAGAGAATGACTTCTGATGACCCAGCTGCCCTTATAACTCATTTGCCCTTTATCTTTTGACAGACAAAGTGACTTCAGACTTAGTCATATGTTAGAGGCTGTCTAAATTTGAAGAATATTCTGGAAATAAATGATATCCTATGGCAAAGAAAAATTCAAAATTGTTTTGAAAGTTCCTATTTTTATTACATATTGCATGTACTTTCTTGGGAGAAACGAATCTTGAATTTACAGTATGAAGTTTTAGAAAGGACTTACCTTGAAAAGCAGAAAAAAATTAATTTGAATACACTGGTGGGAGCCTTACCTCAAACTGTATTGTCTTCCACAAGAGATCTTATGTCTCTGAATGAACAATCAGTTTCTTAAGAAATTGTCCCCAAATCTTATTTGATTTTGGGTGCCTCAATTTGATTCCACAATCTATTTTAGCTAAGCAAATCCCTCAGGATTAGCACAGAAGGGTTCAAACCTGACATGTTTTACAGCACATCAAGGAACAGCTTCATCTGGTTTCCAGTCCCTAGAATCTTAGTGGCCATTGTCTTGCAATTCTTATGCCGAAGATTAATTTTAAACTTGCAACTGTCTCTGTTGAGTTGAGCACATTGGCTGGAAGTGAGAAATCGGATTGTTTTGACTTGCATGTCATCAGTGGCAGCAGCTTTGCAAGGTCTGCAGCGGGAGGGTCATGCTGGTCACAGCCCGGAGACCCACATGCTGCCCAGGTGGCCCTAGAGTTCAGTTGATAGTCACATAAATACGAAAGCCCAAAATTCTGTCCTGTTTGCTTCCCCCCTGCTGCACCGGTCCTGTTGGATGAAAAGCAGGGAAGGGGGAAAAGGGAGATTTTAGTACTCTTTGTGGTAAGTTAAACAACACTCTTTCTGACTTCACACAGGAAAAGGATCTGCTGAGTAAGAAAGTGCTAATTTCACATTGTTGTTTTTCACACTAGAGCTACGTTATAAGTACCAAGCCCGAGAGGAATGAAAGCATAGTCAAATTAATGAAAAATAGGTTATGATGATAAATTATTCAAGTGGATAAAATTATTTTGCATTCGGAAGACACTGAAACTTAAGGACCAAATCCTTTCATGGTGTAAAAAGATTCAACTTCATCACTTTCAGGGAAACAGAGGGAACAGAGGGAACTTATATCATTCAATTCAAAATCTGACTATGACTGGCAGCATAAGCAGTCGTTTAAAACTCTGTGGCACATATTTCATCTACTTTGGGTGACAGCCATAAGGTGAATGTTTTAAATTCTGACACGGCAAAGCCTTTCTTTTGAGATCTGTGGTGCAATTTTAAAGGAGATGAGATAAAAGCCGTGCCTCTCCAAAGGCACATTTTCTCTGATGTTAAAGGAAACAATGTAAAAATATGCCCACTAAATAAATCATCAGGGATTTTCAGAATAGATCACATCCTTATGTCTTAAAACTTGTAATACAACTCAAGTTGTTCACCTTAGTCAGTTTCTTTTGTTCAACAATTTTTTTTCTACAAGGTGACATGTGTAGGGAAGGCAAATCTGGAGGAGATACCCCATCAGAAGAGGTTCCAGTGAACAAAGATAAAGAGGGTCCTCTTTTGACTTCTGGCATGGCACTTTCAGAAGTTTAATCCTCAGTAATCTCTCTCACATTTCCAAGGAGGTGATAGTGGAGAACAGGCTGTTATGCTGCTAAAGGTGAATACCAGTGACCTGTGAATGTACTTGGCTCTGTACAATAGCCTCTGATTTTTCAAGTATCTTAGCCAACATAGGGAGGAAGTATGCTGATTTGACTTCTGCTGCTCTAGGATGAATTTTCAGTAATATTTTCCTTCAGCTTGCATGCATGTAAGCATACAGAGCGGTGGAAGGAAGCATAGGCTGGTCATAGGCTGGTACAACAAGCTTTTAAGGACCATGTTTGAAGTTAGAACTTGCAGTCAGTTGGACCTATAGGAAAAGGTGTAATCTGGCAAGTTCATTTATCATACTAAACTCTAAGGCTGAAATGTCTCCTACCAAGTAGCAGACACTAAGTCATAGGTATGGCCCCCTCTAGCTCCCTGCTGTGATAAGTGGGGAGAGACAGCCACATCTCCAGAGACTGGTTCATGGCTTAGGCAGGATGAATCACCCCTCTTGTCTGAGAACCAAAGGGTGACAACTTTTATATTTCTGAACATTCTAATGCCCATAAATGAGTTGAATCTAGGCTTTAAACATTTGTGTCATATAGCTATAATAAGACACAAGTGCTCACATTAAGCCAGCATGGCATGGCCTCCTTAACACTTCACATAGCCATTGCTGTGAGGAGAACACTTTCTTATCCCCAGATGACTCTTTCAACCATCCCCTTATGTGCAGATGTGAGAAGGAGTGACAGTTTCTCCGAAGTGAGAGTATTTTCAAATGTCAAGAAGCTTTATTTTTTAATGTGTTAAACCATATAAAATCCCCAGATAATATACCTCATAAATGAAATGAGACTAATTAGTAGGAAAGTAATGAGGGAACATTAACAGAGGTTACATCCCGAGGTCTGGTCACAGCTATGGAAAATGTGGGAGAGGGGTAAAAACTACAATCTACTTTGTTCCTCCAGCACTGGCATTCATAGTTGTTAATTAACCCCAGCAAGGGCAACTTTAGAATGGCAAAATGAGGAGAAAAATGTTAAGGGACTGCGAACTTTTTCTTTTCTTTCTTTCCCTTTGTCTCCTGTCAATGTCCCTGGGCTGGCACAGGTTCCTTACTGCTGAGCCAAGCTGCCCTTGTATCCACAATAGTGCTGCGTTTCCACCCAGCTTTCTCTTTTGTTACAACCACCCACTAGGAAACTTGGATTCCAGTGATTTTTCCAGGGAAAACTGAAGAGCCAGTAGGTCTTTTTGGCACAGGTCACCAAGGTTAGGTAGGTGCCCAGCTCCTTTTTAAATAAGAGTTAATTGTCCATCTGCAAAAGTGGAAAATAGCACTTCCTGACATTGTAGTATTGGAAGGGTAAGTCTGTTATGGGGTTTTGAGCACTTGCGTATGAAGGTATGGAGAGTTGTGTCAGGACTTAAAACAGACTGTGGATTTGGAATGCCATCTATGATAGCAGAATTGGAGGCTATTTTACTGGCTGCACAGTAAAGGATCCAAATGACGTGTTTATGTCCTGGGTTACTTAAGCTTGAATAGAAGTATAAGGTCTCGTTCTAAACTCATCTGAGTCAGTAGGGTCTCTCCCTTGACTTTAATAAGTGTCTATTGAGCTGAAAGTTGAACCTCGAAATGAAACTTTGGCATGCAAGTTACTGAGACTTTAAAAATATAAATTTACAGCTTGTCAAAATATCAAGATGAAACAGCATCTATGCTGCGTCTTAATCATAATGTACTTAGTGAAACAGAGATGTCTCTTGAAGGAAAAGGCCTATAGAAAACCTGCCCAATGTTGAACAAGTGTCATCCATTTGCACAGTTTTTAACAGTCACCTACACCTGAACAGCTACAGGCTTTTTTAGAACATGAGAGAATTCAAAATGCTTGAGGCAAATGCAACTGAAGGAGCATACAGTCAAATCAGTGCTCACTGTAAAAGCAATGTGTCTATATACTTTATTAGAGGAGCTGGATGGAAAGGGAACAAAATGATGAGATGAGGACATGTGGTGGCTGAAGTAAACTGATGAGATGTCAAATAAGATAAAAAGAATAAAGAATAGGACTGATGTCAGCTGTCACAAAAGAAAAAAAACTACGAAAAAGGAGATGTAATGAGAAAACAGGTATGTTGCAACTAACACAATTTGAACACAGTGCCAACCTGAAGCTGATCAGATCATTGTGGAGAAAAATCACATATGGGGTGCCAGGAAAGACTTTCTTCTTTGTTTCCTCTCAAAACTTAAATTTTACAGATTTGTTCTCTTCATCATTTCATTTTTGGTCCAGTGTTCTTGAATATGTGCATTAATTGCACCTCAGCTATCTTTAACTTTTTCACTAACCTCATTACTCTTAGTTTTTTGCTCATGTTTAACCTAAACTTTTTCTTTCTTTGCTTATGGCCATTACTTCTCTGTTTTCTTCTGAGACTTGTTGTAATTTCCTGCTTTCATTTACATTGTTACCTTGAAGATATTTACAGGGTATGTTCATTTTCTTCCTGAGGTTTCTCTTTTCCCCTGTGTCGATCTTTTCAGTTCCTCTGGTTTTCCCTCTCTCTCCCTAATTTATATGCTCCCCATCTCTTACTACCAGTAGAGCTAACATTTTGACTAATTTTCATGTTTTTTTTTTTCTCATATATTTAAGATTAATAGTTAAGTAGCAGAACTGACCTTAAAAAGCTGTGAGGGATATTTCCATAAAAATACTGCCTAATATCTTTTTCACAGTTCTTCATGATTTTAATGTCCATCGGCAGCAAACTTGTATTGCTAAGCCAGCTGCCACAGTTACACACACACACACACACATAAGAATCTCTAGCCTTCATTTTTTCAAGTAGGACTTTATATTCCCATTTCTTAATATCTCACTGGTGCATATCTTATTTTCAGACTGTCCAGACTTGCACAGGTTCTGCATAACTTGTGATACATGAGTGAAACCGCTATGTACACTTAAACAAACACGCAGTTTGTTCTCAGCTAAGAAACATAGGAATGGCATTCAGCTGGCATGTCCTGCTTTGGATGCTTTTTGGATACCTGTCCAGGTTTACAGATACATTTAAGTACATTGACCTGTGTGTAGTTGTCTAACAGGATTTTCAGAAGTGACTAGGCGGGCTGAGTTCTTCATTTCCTGATGTTACTGGTTTACACATGAATTCCTTCAGATATTTGCTACCTATTCTGTGAAAGTTTTCTGCCATGGGGATTTTCTCCATGCAGTACTGAGAACAGCAGAGCCGTGCTCTGACCAGTTCCTCAGCAGCACAAACCTGACAGTGCCCAACAGCAGCAGAACAAAACCAGAGCAATACCAAGGGTACGTGCAGTGGGAATTAATATGAAGTACAAGGAGCCAAGTAAAAAGACACCATGCAATTGGTTCATCTGATAACAAGAGAGCAAAGCAATGAGGATCAGAAATATCTTAGCAATTCAAGAAGAGGCGTTGTCTTTCTGTTCTTTGCAAGCAGACTGATTAAAAATACTCCCAAATAAAGAAAGAGGTTGGATGTATAAAAAAGTGCACTCTCTGGCCTCACATTTGTTTATAAAGATTATCTATTAGAGGGACAGCTGCAGTCTAAGAATGTGTCTGTGCAGGTAATACGATGCCAGGGAATGGGAATCTCGAGTCTGTCAGAAAAAGAAATGTGGTTAACAACCCACGAGCTCAAGAAGATGCAGTTCCTTTGCCCTGAAACCCCTGTTGTCACTGGCTGCTGTCAACCGGAGGGTTTGATTTCAATGTTGTGAGAAACCTTAGACAATCTCACACAGTGCAAGTGAGAAAATGACAGCCCTCTGATGATGCAGCCAGTTTTCCTGATCAGCGTGATTGTATGAGAGTGCTGTACTTAGTTATATCGATTTGTCTCTGAGAGCTCTTTCTGCCACATAAATCTCATTGAAAATCTTTAAAGATCGTGCCCCAGAAGGCCACTGTGTTTTCTTTCTCAGTAAAAAGAAGCAGAGCTAGGAATTCATTTCTCAAAGTTTTAACTAGAATGGTCAATTTATGAGGAAGGTCTGAATTCATCTGTTTTACATTTTGAAACATTTAAAAACAGCACTGCACTTTATGATTAACCTTTACATCTAAGCAGTACTACAAAGAACTGTATCTATCTCCTCTCCTTTTCTTTCTTTGTTCAAGGGGCTTGAATAAAGAAAACCACCTTTCTTTTAGATGGGGGCATTGGAAGGAGCATTGTGCCTATTGTAGCTCAAGCCTTAAGTACAATAGGCACCACATTATAAAGATACTATTTGTTCCACTCTAGTTAAAAAGACTGCTAGTGCTTCCCTGATGGAATTTTTCTTTTAGAGTGTCTAAAATGATTTTAAAAATAAATAACCACTTTAAATTAAGAATCTAGTCTTTCAATTCAGCCAGAGATAAGGAAGCTCAAAATACAAATTTACATTGTCTCCATAGAATTATCAACAAGTCTGAGTCACAAAGTGTGTCTTTATACTTGGCAGACTCATTTTTTTCTAGCATATATAGAAGTAAATATGAGAAAACACAAGAAGTTTGGCCTTTTTTTCCTTGACAAAAACATTTTTTTTTTAAAAGTGACTATTGAGTTTGAGTTACCTGTAACAGAAAGAACCTCAACACCTACATATGTGCGTTTTAGGCCGTTCAAGTGCAGAATAGCTTGTATGATGGTGCTATAAATGTTTCAGTAACACTAAGTATTTGGTCCCATCAGTATTTCTTCCTCTTTGATAGCATAGTAAATTATTCTTTGGCTTGCTCTGTCACTCTTCACAGATGCAGTGATCTCTACACCCACTGTAAGAGGAGACTGAGGACTTAATTTCCTTTTCCTCCTTTCCTCTAAACAAGCTATTTCCAAGACCTTTTACAACCAATATATGCCAAAGCGTCATTTATTCATTTAAACTGTGCAGTCTAGTGCAACTTAAATATAATTACCGTACAACAGAACAAAGCTAACATCATAAAACCATGACATGGCAACTAACATCTGATTAGACAAGCATTCTCCTGCAGGTGCAGAATCACTGCAAACAAAGTAGGGTATTGCATTAATCCAGAACATAATAGGTAATTAAGCAGAACATATTTTTGTCATTTATTGCAGAGAGATACACTAGTACACTTGTATGGAGCTGATTTCAAAGAAGTGAGCACTGTAGCCATCCCCTCCAGTGGAACAAGTTTGTGAATATGGGTTCATTAACACAATTAATGCCTAGAGTATATTCCTGTTTTTGAGTTGTCTCCAAACCTTCTTTCTCTAAGTATTCTTGTTCTGACTTCATAGTACATTACTTAAAGTTACCACAGGAAATAGATGAGAACTCTAATGCAGTAAAGCAGACACGTTTTTGAGGACTGGGATAGACAATGCTTAACAGTACCTTTGATAATTTTGTCACAAGTATGAACTCTCATACCTGGAGCATATCAGCATATCTTCAGAAGTATGGAAGTGTTTTTTCAAATGACAGTTCAGACTGATTAGAGTTTGAATCCTTGTCCAAGACTTGAATAAACAGGGTATGAATCTTGCTTAGGTCTGGTGGTCTCTTACTGCTGTCCCAAAGAGACTGGGCAGTGAGAAGGGAGTCTAAGTGGAAAGTGTTTTCCATTGAGTAATCAAAATATCTTCCAGAGTTTGTAATTTCTCACTTCATCACCATATTAGCTCTGGCAATAACAGGACTAACTTGTGCTGACAGTACTGCACATATAGAAAAGCTCTTCTGGAATTTACCAATGATTAAAAGGTACCTAATGAGTGCCCAGAACTACCTATATCAGTGAAATGCAAATAGTCCATTAACACTGGCAGGATAAATCAGAGCATAGGCTCAGTACCCATCGGGGTTTCAAAAGACAAGAAAGAGTAAGATGGTAAGACTGAGTAATCATCATCATAACAGCTTCATATATATATAAAATAGTTAGTATAGAGTGTAAATGTTTATGAATGTATGTAGGTTACCCAGAGGATAAAAGAAAGGAGATGCAAGAACAAGAGCTGAATGAAATAAAGTTTGCAGTTCAGCTTTGGTGCAGTTGGTCTGGCGGCTGTTTATGCAGGAGGGGTTGGCAGACCTGGAGCAAAACAAGCACTGCCTGCAGGAGGGATGTGACCTTCCAGTGGAGAGGAATTGAGAGAGAGAAGGCAGAGAGCTGACAGGTTTTGATGATGTCTCAGCTGACATACAATGAAGCTTTTGTTTCAGTTTTGCAAGGTAATTTTTAATGGGCAATAACATAAAATGCTGAATGTTTGGCACAATGTTTTATATGTTGTGGTCTTCCTGCCAGAGATCTTTGTTTCAATGTGTTTTTTTTTTATTTCATAGTCCACAAGAGCTTCTATAATCCGAGTCCCTTTGTCCTCTGCTGCACTTCATGCTGGTGATCAAACAGTTAACCTGTATTGTCTTTCAGGAGTCCCATCTCCCTTCTGCCAGGAACAATGATAAAATTCTGACTGCAAAAGTGTGCAAGCCTGTGGGCCAGATGGATATTTGGTAGCAAAACATTTGAAAGGCTCTTACTGCAATAAAGAGCTATATGAAGTATTTTCTCTAAACACAAGTACCAATCTCTTGTCTCCAGGGTGTTTGTAATCAATATTATATTACAAGTTGATTAAATACTAAGGTATTGGAGCAGTGAATCTCCAAGTGTAGTTTTGAGTTTTCTTTGTTTCTCAAAAACAACCGTATAAATTGTTTAGAGAAATGTTGACAATACCAGAAAACAACAAAACCAAAATAGCATCATAATCAATATTTCTGAACATGCAATATTGGCAAGGGGGAAATAGTCATCATTGGATCAGTACCTGGCAAATGCTGTAGGTGGGCAAGAATATTACAACTTTGTAAACTAAATATTTGGCCCATATGTCCTGTGCTCTCTGCAAGTAGATAGTATAACGTGTGGAATAATTTCTACACATAGCTTCTTAGGCTGGTATGCAGTGTGTGCATAAAAGGTGAGTGCCTCTCAAAAAGCTGATGACATCCATGGGAAGCCAAATAGAATGCTTGAAATCTATTTGTCTTCACAGATGTGTAATAAAGGATATGTGTGGTGTGGGAAACTCTAAATTTGGTGCATTTGACACTGTAACAAAAAAATGTATAAGTAAAAGAATGAAGGCCATGTGAAGAAGCACAGCTATCTGAGCCATAATTTGTAGCAGTAACAGGTGTTTTGGCCCTCTTGTCACTGGATTTTTGCCTTTGGCAATAGGTATTACATTCAAGTCTATTTGAACGTGACAGTTAAAGTCTGGGGCCAGTGTGAGAAGAAGGAGACAGAGAGAACCTGGTTCCAACTATAAAAAAAAAGTTGGGCCATCAAAATGCTCAGCAGTGGCAAAACAAAGGTGCATCTGTCTCTGTTTTTTAGTTTTGACAGGTACACCTTGGTATGTGAGGGGAGAAAAGTACATGAAATGAGTAAAAGCTGTAGAGTGCTCCCTCTGTGAGCTACCAGTAAACAGAATTACAGGAATGCTGTGTCAGAGAACAAGCCAGCTGGACACACACTATCTCCTCATGTCCCTGCACCAGCTTCCTCATTCTTTCATTTATCAGAGCTCTTTTATTCAGTCCTCTTTTGAATGTCTTGTTACCAAAGTTTAGGTTTGTTCTTTGGGGGGTGTTTTTTGTTTTATTTTATTAAAGGAGGTTTGAGAGTTTGTTTGTTCTAATAAGCTGGAGCTGTAATTGGGAAATGGGTTAAGCTTGTTTCCAATTAAGAAAGTTGACATGAAATAATTGCATTCTGAGAGAGAGAGAGAAATAAGTTCCCCAGTTGAGCTGTAGAAGAGCGCAGCTTTGTCTAACAATGAAGGCAGAAGCAGATGTCTAGAAAAACATGTAAAAGCAATCGGGGGGGATTTATACATTTGGTTATTAATTAAGATGTATGCATCTTAAGAGAAACAAGTTTGTTTCTCTTGTGCTTAAATAAAGCATACATGATAAGGTCCTACCAGGCATGAGTATGTCCACAGCTGGTAAAAATATACATGGTTTTGTTCACTCTCTGGTTTGCCAAGGTTAAAAAACGTGTAATGAGTAGTAGAGTGATTAGACATAGTAAGTGACTGAGGACTTCTGACAATGCTAATGTTTGCTTTTTAAAATGTGGGGAATAGGGGAAGTGGAATCAGCCTTTCTGATTGGAGCGACAGATGTGCTTAAGGATCTGATGTGGGGACAGGCAGCTGCTGAGAAACTGTTAGTTGTTGCAGTCAGTTTGGAGAAAAGAAAGAGCAGAGGGTGGGTATTTGCTAGATAACTGTCTGTGCTATAATTAGGCAAAGATGTACTAGTGTGGGTAAGAAAGAATAAAGGCTTCAAAGACTTTGGATAAGAATATGTACTTTTTTCAAAAAAAAAAAAATATCTGTGCCTTATCCAACAAACTCAAATTTCATTTACAGCATCAAAAGTAACACTATCTGAGATTAAAATTGGAAGAACCAACACTGAACTGACTTGGCTGCTCACATAAGTGATCATTCCTGCAATTTTTATGCAAGTATTAAAGTATTAGTTAAATGGTTTCTCTTTTCTTTGTTCCCTTGTTTGAGCTGTCCTCGAAATTCATAGAATCATTTGGACTGGAAGGGACCTTGAAGGTCATCTAATTCCAATGTCCCTGCCATGGTTAGGGACACCTTCCACTGGACCAGGTTGTTCAGGGCCCATCCTACGTGCCCTTGAACACTTCCAGAACATCTCTGCATCCACAACTCTATAACTTCTCTGGGCAACCTGTTCCAGTGCCTCACTATCCTCACAGTAAAGAATTTCTTTCTAATGCCCAATATAAACCAACTCTTTTTCAGTTTGAAGCCATTCCCCCTTGCCCTGTCACATGCCCCTATAAAAAGTTCCTCTCCGTCTTTCTTTTCGGCTCCCTTCAGGTATTGGAAGGCCGCAATTGGGTCATGCCAAAGCCTTCTCTTCTCCAGGTTGAACAAGCTCAACTCTTTCATCCTTTCCTCACAGGAGGGGAGCTCCATCCCTCCAATAATCTTGGTGTCCCTCCTCTGAACTCACTCCAACAAGCCAATGTCCTTCCTGTGCTGGAGGCCCCAGAACTGAATGCAGTACTCCACGTGGGGTCTCACCTGGAGAGAGAGGCAGAGGGGTGGACAAATTCAATATGAACTTTAAAAAAGTAACAGACTTTTGGCTTTAATGGCTTCTCTACCTGACTTGTCTCTGTGGTAATTTTGATAGTATTAATGAAAGATTAATATTGGCAGGGGTTGTGATTGGTGTGTTGCTTTTGTGAGGAGGCATTATTTTACGCAGGTAAACCTGGTAAATTAATGTCTGAGAATCAAATACATTTTCTGGCTGAAATGCTACCCCTTAGTTGACTTTTGTGGTGGGTTCATCTTGACTGAATGCCAGGTGCCCACCCAGCTGCTCTATCCCTCCCCTTCCCAGCTGAACAGAGGAGAGAGTAAGGTGGGAAAAAAAAACCAACACAAATCGTGGGTTGCGATAAGGCAGTTTATATTTATGCAAAAAAGAAAGCAAAAGCAGCGTGTGCGCGCACAAAGCAGGAGCCAGCAGTTAATCTCTACTTCCCATCAGCAGCGATGGTCGGCCACTTCTCTGAGAAGCAGGGCTCCAGCATGCGTAACAGTTGTCAGTAGGCAGCCATCAGAGACAAGGAGTGCCTGCGGTCCTGCTCCTTGCCTCAGCTTTTATATCTGGGTTGACATTATATGGTATGGAATACCCCCTTGGTCAGTGTGGGTCAGCTGGCCTACTTGGGTCCCCTCCCACGATCTCGCCCTCGGTTGAAGAAGGAATGTTACAGTGCGGTGCTCAGCAGTAGCCAAAACACGGGTGTGTTATTAACACTCCTCTAGCTACCAATGCAGAGCATGGCACTGTGAGGGCTACTATGGGGAAATAAATTCTGGCTCAACCAGACCCACCACACTTTTCTTTGTGGTTAAAGTGCTCTTTGATATAGTAAATCAAATAAGAAGTAATATGATGGATTCCTCTTTCATGTAAATAAAAGTGGTTCTGCTCTGAGGGTTCTTTCCCTCAGTACACAGAGTTACAGGGTTACAGAGTCTGGACCACCTTTCAGCAAGTGGACAACCAGGATTTCTTCTGCTGTTGCTACTGTTTTCATTTAGAAGATGGAAAGCTCAAGCTGATGTTTTGTGAATTCTTGTAGGGCTGCTTTGATGCGTGAAGTAACAGAGTCGAGAGATGGGGTAACTGCAGCCTCCCTGTGCTTGCATCTGCAAGCTTGTGTGTGCCTGTGTGTCCTTACTGGAGGGTGTGGAGGGTAAGTAGATACATCCTCCATGTACAGGGCGGTGCTTAGTTTCTGTGATTTGGTGTTCAGATAATGAGATCATTAAAAATAAATACTTTTAATTACTATTTAGACTTATGTATTTACAGCCTTGTGATCTACTAGAGTTTTTAAAAGCTAGGGTTTTTGGCTAGCCATACAGAGGTTTTCTTCTGGAGGTTCACCAAAGATCGCAGGTGGTTGTTTGGACTTATTTCTCATTGGTTACAAAGGTTACTCAGTTGTGTCATAAACCACATACCGGTTTCAGTGTTAAACTGTTTGCTTTTTGTAGTTCATTCTAATGCTTTTGACGAAGTTTCACTTTGCTGTGACCTTTCCCACTCTTTTCTTTGTCCTTGTCCTTTAATTATGATGGAATTTCTGGAGATAGAGACAGGTCTTTTATTAAGGAAGTGTTAAAATGAAGAATTTTCTCTTGAGGTTGCCCTCCTTATGTAAAAGGATGTTGTAAATGACATTTGGACTTTCCATAAGTGAACTGAGACTTTTAATCTTTTTTGAACCTCATACGATGAAAGACAAATAACTGAACACTGCTATTATAAATTATGTGAACTTCTTATGCTTCAAGAAAGGCATTCTACATGCTTTACCTTGATAAAGCTTCTGCTGCCTTCCTGGGAAACCTCGGCTAGTCAAAATTTGGCTTGCGATCATAGACTAATCCTGTTCATAGTAAGCATCACTAAATGCTGCCTTCTGAAATTATATCACTCTTGGGAGGCCTCACTGATCACAGAATAGTGATCCTACTGCTCTTATAGCATGCTGCAAGCCAGACACGAATGGCATTTCAAAAACTGAGTTAATTTAACCCTTTTTCTTAAAGCGATCAGAGAATCTTTTCAAAGGCTTATCTTGTTGATAGTGTTGTAAATACATAACATAGATTAAGAGAATTAGGAAAAAAAAACAAGTTAGAAAAAACAATTTATTAAGTAGTATCATATAAATAACTCGTTACAAAAATCAATTTGCAAAAAGGCAAATTCACTCTGTCTGTGAGAAATTGTTGTTCAAATTGGTTTCTCATCAAATCTTTAAATTTCATTTCCCCTGCCCCCCAACCCCCCAAAAGAAGCCAGTACAATGAACAGGAAATGTAAGAGAGTGAGTGCACACTTTCAATCTGACCATAACGAATTGCCCATTCACACTGCAGAAGAGATAATCATTCCAGCATGGGTCAATTTGCAAAACAGGGAAGTTTCTAAGTGTAAAACTCTTGTGTGACAAAAATATTATTGCCCACAAGTCTCTCTCTGCTGAGCATTGACCAGATCCATCCAATGCTGAGGCTCCCTTGGCACAACTAGGGGATGACATCATGAGAGACTATGTGGCTGGAGCATGCCAGCAAGTAAATCTTCCCAGGTGAAGGCATCGGTTTCAATTTATGCTTGGAAGTATTTTTAATTAAAAAAAATCAATACCAAAGAGCATTTATTTTAAAGGGTTTAAAAAAATCACAAATCTCAATAGGAGTTTGCCAGATTGATTTTGCTCAGTAACACAGTTAAGATGCACGTAGCATTTATTATAAGGCCTTTCTTTTAATTTTTCAAAGCAATGAAAGTAATCACAGAATTAAAACAGTACAGTGATTCTAAAGGTTATGTGTCAAAATCCAGAACAATTTCATGTTTGCCGTGTTCTTTGTTGTGTTCACCTGAATGCTTAATAATTCTATACACTTGTATCTTTAATAAACACTAAAGTGGTAGATCATAGAAAACTAAAAGCTTATAGAAAGAGTCTCCAAGTATATTTACATAAATAGTGCAGTCTTATAGGAAAGGTCAAAAGCCCATGGGAGTGGAAAGGATTTCTCTATATGCTGGACTTATGCCTTATTTATCAAATCGACTTTGTGGAAGGAGAAATTTAAAGATAGCAGCTCCTTCAGCTCCTTTTTTTTTTTTTTTTTTTTTTTTTTGGTTTTTTGTGGGGTTTTTTTTGGGGTTTTTTCTCCTTTTTTTTTTTTTTTAGTTTATTTTTAAGGACAGCAAAAGATGCATGCAGAAAAAAAGTCCACAAGGGCAGGTTCTGTAAAAACCTCCTTTGAAATCCAGTAAATCTATGCATGATAGCTTTGTGGCTTTTAAGCATCACGGGCCTGCATTGCATATGACTAATTACCTCCCCCCGCCCTCCCATGCAATTCACTTTCTGTTCTTCTTCCTGAAACTCTCAGTTCTCTGACACTTGTGCTCCCTGTAACCCCAAGCACAGCTTTTGGATACCTACCACTGAACTTTATGAACTGTTCAGGAAAGCGTTTAGTATATGACAAACACAGTTTTGGGCTCAAAAGTGTAATATTACAAACTGATGGGCAGAATCAAGATTGTTTCAGCTGGCTTAAACTACTGAGGGGAGAGACTGGTATTAAAGCATTGTGTTGGCTGTTGTGGTTTTTGCTTTCTTTCTGGATCAATGCATGAGTCTGTAGACATTAAATATGCTTTTGTTCCCCTTAAAGTACAGAAAGAATCTCTGAGAAAAGAAGTCTTTCTGAAGACTAAACTGAAAATTAAAAAAAAAAACCATTGTGGCTTTGACATTTATTAGAGGAGGCTGCTGTTTCACAGGTCTAAAGGGGTTGGAAAAAACCTGCCTTTCACAGCTTATGTCATAGTTCATATTCATTGGAAGTAGTGTAATGACTGTTAATTTGTCAACTCTCATTTGACAAGGGATCTCAGACTGCAGAGTTAATTGAAATGCAAATAGGCAGGGGATGGCAGCATCCAATTGGGACAGTGGTTCTTCTGAAAAATTTTAATACTACTTATAGCCAAAGGAAACATGGAGAGAATTCTAAGAGATGGTGGCAAGTAGAGCTAACACAGTGGCACTTGCAGAAAGCTACTGCTTAGAACCACTGTCAGTAATTCACCATGCATCAAGATAGTTCTGCTGCAGAAATTTAACACATTTCTTTCTTTCCTAGAGATCTGCACAGAAATGGCTTGGATTTAATTTGCTTGGTCTGAAAAAGATGATGTCTTTCTTCCTACCTCTGCAAATCTCCCTCTGGCTGCAGTAGGAAACCTAAAAGTGTTAGAAGTCACTGTGCGGTGTTGGTTCTGCTCAACATGGATAATTCTGGTTCTGAAACATGGGCAGCTGCCAGTGTTCATTATTTCCCTTCTTTTTAATCATACTGTACATGTGTAGACACATATTTCTAAAGCCATTTCTTTCTGCTTTACTTCTTTATGACTGTTCTGTTTTTTTATGGTACTGCAGATGTTCATTACTTGGTTTTGTGGGATTTTTGTGATGTCATGTGTCCCGCTACTTCCATAAGTGGATTATTTGAAGATTGCCTCTCCCATTCACATTTAACAGATAAGAAATACCTGTCCATAGAATGAATTAAGACCAGAAAAATATATCTTTTTCTTAGGAAAAATTTAGCAAATATTGGTGTTGGTACAGGTGAAGTGTTCTTTTTCTACTAGGTACCTTAGCTAGTAATTTTTTTTACCAGAAATAACTCAAAAATAGAGACAACTTTTTTTTCTCACGGTTAGACACAACTCCATCTACATCAGGTTTGGGAACACATCCCAGTCCTGTGATCCTGTTGGTAGAGCCCTGTAGAAACACCCAAATTCCCTTGTGCAGAGCTTTCTGCAAGTGTTTGCCTCATCTTTCTTCCATGCACTTGTCTACACAGAAAGATGTCCTGGCGCAACTGTATTGGAAGTATGGGCTCCTGTGTCTCCCCATACCAGTGCTGCTGTGGGATATAATTGGGTTTAACCTGAAATAATCAAACAAACACGAAACAGAAACACCACTTCCCCCCATTTTTCTGAGATAAAGTGACTCTTTTGGGAGTTGGGATGAAATAGCTACAGTAGAAACCTTATTCCAAGTGTAGAGATACTACTGTTCTGCACTAGCACAGCTGGAACAGTCTCCCAGGTCCCTGTTTCATCCTGACTCCACTGAATTCCTTGGCATCTTTTAATAGGTCTCCTGCTGTTAGGTCAGATGCTTTTCCAAATTAAAAGGCAACTGCATTGCTATCTCTCTACCTGGCTTAGCTAAACTTCCTAATAATATTACTTCTTCTTAAATAGGTGTGGTTGTAAGAAGAGCAGGCTTAAAACAGCCTTGAAACCCACTTCATAGCCCATAGTCCAACACTTGTTTATCTGTAAATGACAACTGTAGCACTGTGTGAAAGCATTGTTAAATACTCATTTCTATCATCTAGCACACTGCCATGCAATATAGTGCAAAGAAATTCTACTGCAAAGTTTTGTATTCACTGCAATATGGCACTTTCAATATTTAATATGCAATACTGATTTTATAAATTGCACTTTGTGGTACTGCCAAGCAAGAAGAAAAGGAAGAACTGAACTCTTCTTGCTGTGTAAGAGATGCTAAATTTGTGTAATTTGCAGGAAAAAAACAGACCTTAAAACCTAAATGCATAAATAATAATGTGGATGCAAGTTTGCCTCAAATTT